GGGGTCCATGCTCGTCCTATTTTATTATAAACTAGGTTTTTATAATTAGTAAAAATACTATTTTTTAAAAGATAAACTATTTAAATAAATAGCTTTAATAAAGGAGCTATTTAGGTTTATATTAGTAAAAAGTTAAGTTAATATTTAAGGCATATTTAATTATATAGCTAGTTAATATACTTTTATAATAAATATCTAGGTTTTAATTTATTTATATTATAAATATTATAAAGTAATAATAATTAGCTAACTAAACTATTTAAATAAATAATATAAATATAACTTATATATCTAGTTATTTTAATATTCTTAATATACTTAATTATTAAGTTTATTAAGTTATTCTTAATATACTTAATAATTAATTTTATTAAGTAGCTTTTAATTAGCTAAATAGTTTAATATTTATCTAGTACTGCTTACTAAAGGTAGCCTATTATTATAACTATAAGGCTAGGTTATAATAGCTTAAAGATTATATTATAGCCTTAATTAATAAAAATATAGTTATTATATAAACCTTAACTAGCTTTAATAACTTTAAGTAGGCTTTATAATAGCTATAATACTTTAACTAATACTTTTTTATTATTAATAATAGCTTTAATAGCTATATAATTAAAAAGTAGTTTAGTTATTTTTTAAAAATTATAAAATTAAAATAAGAAAATAGTAAATATTAATAATAAGGCTATATTAAGAGAATAATATAAACTATTTACTAGCTTTTTTTAATAAATAGCTTTACTACTTATAAAAATCTTAAATTTATATAGTATTATAATTTTTTTAATATTATGCCTTTTAAGCTTTCTTTTTATATAAACTATTTTTTTTAACCTTTTAATATTAGTATTTATTAATATTTTAAGTAGTAGTAGTAAAAGTTATTATAAGAATTTATTTAAGCTAGTAAAATAAGTATTATAAAATATAACTTTTTTTATTAATAAAATAAAATATATAGCACTGCCTTTAAGGCTTATTATATTTATATTAAATTTAAGTAAACTAGTTTATAGCCTTTTAAGCCTAATATTATCTTAGCTAAACTATAGCAGGGCTATTAAAATTAATAAAAACCTTTATTACTAGTATTACTTATTAAAAATATAATCTTATTATAATTTATTAAAAAAGCAGCTAGGAATATATAGTAAAAGCTTAATATTTTAAGCAGCTTAACTTAAGGTATTATTAATAGCGCTTTTACTTACTTAGACTTTATAATTTTTATTAATTTTTAAAATAAATAAATATAATAACTTTAAGAATAATAAATATAATAAAAAGCCTACTAAATAAAAACTTACTATTAAATTTAAGGGATTACTAATAGTACTTATACTATTATATAGCTTTATAATAAAATAGCTGCCTAATAATAGTAAAAAGTAAAGGCTAAAGCTTAAGCTTAAGTCTAAGAGTAATAAACTTAGCTATAAAAGCAGTGCGCTTTTAAGGCTACTAAGGTATTATTATCTAGGCCTTATTTATAAGGCTATACTACTGCTAATAAGAAAAGGCATTAAGAAAAGGAATACTAAGCTAATCTTTAATAATTAAAGGCTAAGGCTAATAAAGATTTTATTAAATCTTATATAATTATATAAAATAATACTAATAATAAATATTATAGCACTCTTTTTTAAATAATACTAAATACTATACTTATTAAGATTCTTAATATTATAGTATAGCTTAAAAAGTGTTAAACTTAAAATATAGTTAAAAAAAATAATAATCTTAATAATAGCTTTTAAAGCCTTAAAGCTAGTTATATTATAATATTATTATTAAATAGTAGTAATAAAAAAAAGAAAAAGAATAATAATAATAATAGTAATATAAAAATAACTATAATTTTTAACTATATATTAACTTTATTAATATATTATTTTAATATTCTTAAGTTTTTTAAAATAAGAACTTTAAGCCTTAAATATAATAAGGAAATTAATTATTAAATTAATTAAGATTTAAAGGCATTATAGGCTTAGGAATTATTATTAAAAAATAAGCCTTTTATTATTATTATAAGGCGCTAAATTAATATATTATAAATATAATTATATCCTTTAAGTTAAATTTAAATACTAATTATATTATAGCTATATATTAAAATAGTATAATATATAGCTTAAAAAAAACTTTAAATACTATTTTATATAAAGATTACTTTTTTTTTTATTATTTATTATTATAGCGTTATATTTATATAGTAAAGTTAAGATAGTTAGATATATATTAATGCAAGATATAAATTAAATTCCTGCCTCTTTTATAAAGAGAGGCAGGGGCCTAGTGGCCTGGCTATTAGTTAACCCGCTGAGTATTAACAGAATGTTAATGAATTAACGGTTTCGGTGGAGCTGGTAGCCGGTCAATCAAGGTGCCCCTGTCCCCCCGCCGCCGCCGCCGCTGCCGTGGAGGGATGCGCTGGACAATAACAAGGCTCACGTTGATCTACCTCACCCTTTGCATGGTCGGGCGTGATCACGGCGGCGAATGGGTAGTTGAGGGAAGTGCGTCGGCGGACCCACACTTGCTAGTAGCACGTCCTGCATATTGAGGCCCACGAATGTATACAGTAGAGACGCTTTTGCAGATGGAGAGCTCGTGTCATTTAGCTCCTTCGGCTCCCTACAGGTATGCATACTGCCGCAGATATAAGACTCACATTGACCCTGCCGTCTCGTCATGAGCTGTCGCGACAAAATCAATCCTGCTACGGTACGGAATGCAACATCATGGATGCTGTAGGGGGTGCAGTGAGCACTGTCTACCTGGTTCGCCAGTTCCTGAGCCACGTCCACAGAGCCCGTTGGTTTCAAGACGAATTCGGAGTATATCAGCTCCAGCTCCAAGTGCATCTCTCTCGTTGCGCAAGAATGATCAGCGAAACGAACGGTACGGACGACGCTTTCCTCGACAGCTCGATGTATCATGCAGCAACAATATCGCACCACCACGACACAACAATGCTTGAAACCCTATCTTCCATCCAGGAGACGCTCCGCAGAGCGCAACGAGAAGCCGCCCAGATCAGGGCCGATCTCATGATACTAGCGGCCAGCGGCGATCTTGAACATTGCTCCACCAACGATCCACGGAACCTCAAAACGATGCGACTTCGAACCACAAACTTCCTCGACAAGCGAAAAACCCGAGCCGCAAGAAATATTGAAGCTTTGAAGTGGGCTTTTTACAAGAAGAAGAACTGCGACAAGTTCATCTCTGAAATATCCGCCATGCTTCTGCACCTTGAGCGCCAGGTCAACGTCACCTGGGATGCCAGACTTCTGCTTGTTGCCAGCCCCTGGCACTTACACGAGGCGGCACACGGCAGCACATGATTGTCATCAATGAGCATCCCGCATTGGATATTTTGCATAGCGTACAGGGCGTCTCTTAGGTTATTGTATAGATGGGAATTGAAAACTTCGGGTTTTATCAACCATTCCTGCTCAAACACCTGCCGTGCCCAACGACTCATCTCGTGCTGCTCGCCGCCTGCTGATATCATGCCCTCGTACCTACCTACCTACCTTACCTAGTTGTAATAAAGGCAGAGAAAGAAAAAGCGGGGGCCAGGGGACCCTATGTACGAGCACACTTGCCTTGCCTTGCTTCCTGCAGGCTGTGATTCTACTGTACATAGTACACCTCAGGCGGCTCTTACTGGAGTGCCAGTAGTGCAATGCTTGCCTTGGCTTCATGCACGCCGCTCTTGTCTTGGCAAGGGAGGGGCAGAAGGCCGCAGCTGGACACTAGCCAGGGCGCAGCGATTGCATGACGAATCCACCCGGTACCCGCCCCGGACATACATACATACAGTGGGACGCAAAAAGTATCTGACCCTTGTTCCGATCTAGGTAACCTTAATCAGGAGCGCTGTAGCTGGCAGTATTATGTACCTTACCTACAGTGCAAGCTGCTGCGCCGCCTGCGAAAGCGAGCCCGTACAAGATCTGACAAGCTGCAGGTGGCCGGTACCTATGATTCGTCCGTCCGAGAAACGGTAGGATGGATGGGATCGCCAACACTCGTACGAACAAGTGCCCCCCCGCTTACTCTATAATCGTGATATGGTAAGTAAGAGGCTCATGAGATTCATAATGAGAAATTCTACCCGTTACCAGAAACCCCTATGGCGCGCGATGGTCGCAATGGCCACCAGCGACGTCTTCTTTCCGCCGCAGCTACCTACCTACCTAAGGTAGTCTAGCCCGGGCTTGGTCAGGTACCTACCTAGGCACCTAGGCGGCACGGCCTCAGATCGACCCCCATGGCCAGCAGCTAAAATTCAACCCGTCCAGAGGCCGCGTCTAAGTGGTTGACACGGCGCCAGGTTCTTGGTTCATCAATTTCGCGTGAAGCGCCATGAGACATGATGGACGTGGACCGGATCGCTGGGCAGCTTATATCTTGGGAACTTGATGTACAGGTTGATATACACAGCCGAAACTGCACATGAGATGCTCGAAGAGAATCGACCCTCAATCAGACAGTGACTCTGCAGAACATTGTCCAATAATACCATCCTTTGAGAGCAATATCCCCAAAGCTAGTTTCACCACGTCCAGGGCCAGACATGACACTCACACAACTCACTTTCCGAGACACCACAGCGCGGTTTGGGAGTTGGGTAGCACAACCCAACAAGCTCATTATTTTCGTAACGTTTTGTCAACCAGGGTTTCATCACCAATCTCAATCCCTACGTGGGATTGACCCTAGTCAACTTGTTCTCACAGCGTGTGTGAATTGGTCACGGCAGGTGAAACCGATGTGTTCCAAATAATTACATTGCGCCATCTACTCTCTTCAACGTCCTCCAACTCCCCCTGATCTTTTCCCAATTTTTCATCCATTCCCATTCCTATATCAACGTCATTGGGGGTACAGACGACCCAGAAAGAACTCGATCGACTGGACCGTGTGATGGTACTGTGCACTTTATATCAGTATCTGAATTGGCCAAAGACATGGCGCTCAGAGGAATTGGGGACTGACTGGTGGAGAATCACAATAAAATAAGCCAAGCATCTTGGACGACAACTTGCTTTCCCTCGTAGGACCGTTGTGGCAATGGAATCACCTCGTGAACATTGAAACCGGCTCGGGAAGCAAGATCTAGTGAACTCCGGAAGTGAGTCGGTAAAGTTTGTAGTATGAAGCAAGGATCAGGGGATGACAAGCTCACAAAAGGGGTGGTTTCTAACGAGAGTTGACCCCAGGGGTCCGAGAAGTAAGTCGTTGAAGTTGCACAGAGCTCCAACAAAGAGCCAGGTTGGGTCGGTCCATGCTGACAAAAAGCGATCTCTGGCTGTCAAGTGGTGATTCAATAGACCTGATAGCTTGGGAGTAGCGGAGTTGACGTTTGAGGATTAAATTCCCAACTTTCCTGTGGAAAATCGTCTTTGCAAATAGACAAAAGTATATCATGCTTGTCCGTCGTGAGGAAGCGTATATTGCCGAGGCCACTACACCAGCGGATATGATGATGCCGATAGTCGACATTATTCGTCTCGTCTCGTCTCGTCTCGTCTCGTCTCGTCTCGTCTCGTTTCATCTGAAGCAATCTGATCGCAAGACTTGATGTTGGCGATTGGGAGGCGAGAGTTGTATCTGGCATGAGCATCTCGCGGCGAAACACCGAGAAAGGCAGCTTTCGGCCAGTATTAGGGTGTAGGGATGGACACGGGACTTCGAAACCATGAGGAGGCTGAAAAGATTGCATGGTAGATCAGATCGAGCTGATAATGCTTCGATAGTTGTGAGATGCTGCTTTTGTCTGGTAGAACCGAAGCGTGGCAGGGCGTTGATGAAGTCGGTCATGAAGAATGCGGCCAATGGGACGAATGGCGATGCATCGTGGTCATGCTTGGGATAGAGCTGAGACAAGCGATTTGTAGTCTTGAGACAAAAGGATGAGTTGTAGTCTTGGGACAATAAGACGATAGTCTCCAGACAAAGGGGTTTGAGCTTGACAAGAGTCGCAGTCGATGAATGACAGACTGGACGACAAGAGCGACTGTGGGGCGGATTTTGTGCAATATAGGATGTGATTGCGGTTTTCTTGGACTTTCGAGGCTTGAAGCGTCGATGTGGTTGTGGTTGACTCCTTGAGTCGGTTGAGGTTGAGGTTGAGTTGGTGAAGTCGATAGAGGTTGACTTGGTGAAATTGATGAGTTGAATGCATTTCGTTTCGCCGGCCCAGGTGATGATGAGAGTGCCAAGATGGGCCGGGTAATCGTCCCCGATGCTACGTAGAAGCAGCATTCGTATCGGGGTCTGTTTTTGCAAGAGGTTTAGCAGCTCCTCTACCGCCGGGTGTCAAGCTTGGGTTGGTTCGACAAAACTGTCACGGCAGGCCCCATGCCGTAGCTCGACAAGGTCCGGCATTGACTCCATCCCGCCAGGACACCTAAGGATCCTGACGTTCAAGGTCGATGTCGTTCCCCGTACGGGCGTCGTTCGAAACCGGGAGGCGACGAAGAGACGTCCGCGCCACCAAGATGATGGCTAAAGCTGCGATCGCCTGGCACACCAGAACGGGGGTCAGGGACGCGTCCGCATCTGCACTTAGGTCCGTTTCAAGGGCTACAAGAAAGCCGATGCCACCTGCGACAGGCCCCCAAAGATCGACGATAAGGAGGACCCGTCCCCGAGGAGCAACCCTATAGACGATCCCGGGAGAGCTAAATGCAAATCCTCCAACGACCGCCGAGAACACGGAGATAAACGACAGGACGACGACAACGGAACGGATCCCGCTGTGTCCTTCCAGCGAATATGTGCATGTCCCGACGATACTCAAGAAGGCCATGGGGAGACTGATGGCAACGTCACTGATGGTGACGTCTGCTGCTGCAGGGTCGGCATCGGCCAGCTTGATCCGAGTCCAGGCCCCTGAAAAACAGGAGCCCATCGTTGTCACAAGGCCGGCGAGCGTCACCCACAGCGCCACAAGAGCCCGGAAACCAAGGACGATTGAGCGGACGGGCTGTAGCCGCGTCCAGGCTCTCTCGTCCCAGCCAGGCCCGTCACCACCCACGGGGGAATCCGGTGGTCCAGCAGGGGGGCGATTGGGGCGATTGGGGCGGAGGAGGCTCCAGAGGGAACCGAGAGCAGAAAAGAAAGGCATGGAGGGCCTCGGATATGGTAGAGCAGCGTTTCGGAAATAGAGTGAAAAGGGGAGGTCGTATGTACGCGATTGGTTCTCGAAAGTCCAGTTGGTACACTGTGAAAACGGCTCTTGGTGAAGAAAAGAAGAAGAAAAGAAAGAGAGAGAGAAAGAAAGAGGAAGAAGAGGAAGAAGGGGGAAGGGCGGACAGGAAGGTTGCACCTGCAGGCAGCACCTGCCTGCCAGCTGGCTGGCAGGTCATTCACTCCGCCTTCACACCTCTCTCACCTTTGCATGCCACGTACCTATCAATATATACCTAGGAAGAAGGTTATAGCGTATTTTTCCTTCAGTATGAGCTTCCATTAGAACAGAGTCTGATCAAGTGTCTATGGGAATAGTATAAGAGAAGGGAGAGTTAATTTAGTATACATTATACTTTATATTAATAGTAAATATATCTAGATATGCCTACTATATAAAAGTAGAATATAATATAAGGAAATATAGCAGTAGTATTAGAGAGTAGATAAAAGTTTCTCTACTAGATATAATTCCTAGTAATAGCAGATATGTCTTAGATAGAGAGCTACTAGAATGATAAGCAGATAGGTTAGGGTATGACAAGCCACGTCTGTAGAAGAAGAAGAAGCAAACAGGAAGTACTGACAGGAAAGGATCTGTCAAGAGCCAGATGAGCTCTTGCACAGCTGCCTTATACCTCGTCAATCCTGCACAAGTGACTCGCGAGTGAGGTCAAAGTGATCCTGCCATTATATCTTCCAAGCAGATGCCAGTTTTATCATCGCGTGCCAAATTGCTGGCTATTGTGCTCATGAATCGGAGTTTCTTGTCCCTTGACGCATTCCCTCACTGCAGATTTGGCATACTACCTAGATACGTCTGGGAACAGAAGGCGCTGATAACTGGGAGATCTAGCAGGCCAAGGCAAGATGTAAGGCGCTCGCTCTGGGTCGCGTGTCAACAAAGGTACCGTTCACCTCTCTCTACTAGACACATAACATCTATCGACCAACGCCAATCTAGTAGACTTTGTAGTCATCGGCAACTCCATCATTTCCAGTCGAAGTCGAAGTCTCATACTGAAGCTATACGCAGATCGATGGAGATGATTCCAATCGAACCGGATGGTACTGGTCTGCGAAGACGATGCCCGTCTTTGAAGGTACTCAGATATCCGTCAGTTCGATTCAACAGCCAAGTTGAAGACGAACGGGCCAAGTTGGACCTGCTTGTTGCGCTCTCCCGGTGGAAAGAGTCATTAACGGCGATGAAGAGATGCCAACTGACAATAATAGCATCTCTGTTAACCTTGAACACTTCTAGATACCCTTGCCAACGACCAAAAGGCCCAATTCCGACAAAGGATTACAAAGGGGCAAGAGGATGAAGATGGTCAAGAGGGTGGACAAGACAGTGAGGTTGTGGAAGATGAAAAGCGCGAACAGGATGACGCCCTACTGAACCCATTCTCCAATCGAAAAGACACCGAACTCAGTTAAGACTCAGTTACATTGCAGGCGATTGCAAGTCTACCGTTATCGAGAGGAAGAAGAGGAACGTGCAAAACTCGGTATTTCATCGTAGTAGCCTGGGATTTCGATCGAGCAACTCCGAGAACAGCGACGGGGAAATATCCAGGAGACTTCTTGCTTCCTCATGAGGACTTGCAAAGACGTTTGCGCAGGCCTTTCGGTATTAGCGACCCGGCCCAATTCTGAACCTGGTGGTTAGGCACAGGGAGCTTCGTGTGTACATTGTTGAAGGAAATGACTAAGGTGATGCCGAATGGGACTGAAGTATGCAAGAAAATACAATTTCATATTCAAGACCCGGAATAGATGATAAGGAATGCAATAATGACTTCAACTTGCAAAGGCACATGATACGTGAGCACGATGTGTGAAGATGGCAATATCTGCAGATAATGCTACGGAAACAGTGGCGTTGCCCGACGAGTCTTGTCTCTACAGCGTTGTAAACCTACCTAGGTAGGTCGAGTGAAAACTCTCCAGCTGCATGGGTCAAATATGACAATCAAGGCGTCCAATGCACCGCTGACTTACATAGATGCGTTCACGACATATCACTACGAGGGGGGGAAACCTTCAGTTTTTGCTCGTCATCAGCATAGTATTCATCCCGCAAACTGCCCTCCAGCCCAGGAGATTCCTCCATCAGAGCAATTCATCTTTGAAACACCGTAGTCTGTCTACAGACTTTGATTCCCTTTTTGTAGACCTGCCATGAAACACGTTGAAGTATCCATCTCTCCCCATCCCTCCCTCCCTGTAAAAACGTTAAGTGACCAAAACCCGCTACCATCCCGAATGATACCAAAAACCCAACCAAAACATAGGTAACTCAATCAGCCAGACAAAAAAAAGGAACTCAGAAGCTGACAAAAGTTAAGCCGGAGCCTTCCAGTACTTGGCAGGCGTAAACGGCATCTTGGTCACCACAGCCGGCCTCTTCCGCCCACGCACAACAACATCGACCTCGGTCCCCGCCTTGTGCAGCCCGTCCTTGATGTACCCCATGGCAATGTTCTTGCCCAGCGTCGGGCTCGGCACGCCGCTCGTGATGACGCCAATCTTGTCTCCATCCTTGCTCTGAATCTCGGCGCCCTCCCGCGCGGGAGCCCCCTGCACGACAAAGCCCACGCGCCGGCGCTCGACGCCCGCGCCGCCCTTGGACTTGGGCGTCAGCTGCGGCAGGATGACCTCTGCGCCGTGGAAGCCGCCGGCCTTGCGCCGCTCGGGCGGGATGATCCAGCTGAGGCCCGCCTCGACGGGCGTGGTGGTGTCGTCCAGGTCGTGGCCGTAGAGGCACATGCCCGCCTCGAGGCGGAGCGAGTCGCGGGCGCCCAGGCCGGCCATCTGGAGACGCTCCGGGCCGGCGGCCTTGACGAGGGACTCGACGGCCTTGACGGTGCTCTCCGCTGCCGGGTACAGCTTGCCGTTGAAGGAGATTTCGAAGCCGTCCTCTCCCGTGTAGCCGCCGCGGCTGATGAGGACCGGGTGCGTCGTGCTGCCATCCGCAAGCTTGAGCTGCGCCTGGACAGTGTTGCCAAAGTAAAACTCCTTCAGATTGACGTCGGTAGCGAGGACCTCGCTCAGGATCTCGGCCGACTGGGGACCCTGCAGGGCAACCAGTCCCGAACCATCCAGCCTCGTCCACTGCACATCGCCGCCAAACTTGCCCAGCTCCTCGTCAATGTACTTGGTGTCCTTGTCGAGGCAAGCGCCGTTCGTCACCACATAGTACTCATCCTCTCCGATCCTCGTGACAATGGTGTCATCCACAATGCCTCCCGTCCCGGGCCACAGGAACGTCGTCAGCTTCCCGCTCATGGGGGCCACGCTGCTCCACGACGAGGGCGTCACCTTTTCCAGAAACGCCGCCGCGGCAGGGCCCTTGAAGATGTGCTGCACCATGTGGCTCACGTCGAAGAGCGAGGCGTGCTTGCGCGTGAAGTGGTGCGAGTCCGCCAGCGACAGGGACGAATACTGCACGGGCATGTGGTAGCCCGCAAAGGGCACCATCTTGGCGCCGTTGGCGACGTGGAAGTCGTACAGGGGCGTCTTCTTGAGGGCCTCGCCGCTGGAAGAAGATGCCAATCGGATGCTTCCAGCGGTTGAGAGGCGGCCGGCTGAGAGGGAGGCCTTGACGCGGGGCGACGCCCGAGCGATCCTGGTGAAGCTCTGCATGGTGCTTCAATTGGCTATGAGGGGAGAGGGAGATGGAACAGCGGAATCAGCGGAGACGCAAGCAATGCAATTGAGTGAATAGCGAAAGAGAAAACAAGGTGAGAATGCAACCTCTCGTGAGACAGAAGCGGGTGACAGTCACCGAATATCAGCGGTTGATAAAGTCGATATGTCCATATCGGAGATGGATGGCAAGATTATTCTGGCCAGTGGGGCCGGTTCGGGTAGCTGCGGATTGCTCTGCAGCTGTGCAACGTAATGAAATAAGTCCGCTCTCCGATATCGAACCGGAATCTGCTGGGAAAAAAAAAAAAGTTGTCTGTGCGATCCGGTGAGATACAAAACATCGCCAGACAAAAGTTGCGCTCTATTGTTTACCCGAAGGCTAAGGGATCGTCTCACAAGGCAGTGAAAAGGCTCACCTGGGGAATCTCGTATAATACTTCTGCCCAGTTACTACAATTGATGCTCCGAGCGATGCTGCATCTACACAAGCATCCAAAAAAGACAAAACTAACACATGAACAGTAAGAATCAACGCAAGTCAGCCCCCTGCTCCTCTCCTCCGGATCTAGTGATATGTAAATAATTGCTGCACCTTTCCGAGACCGATTCCGTGATTAAGAAGTTATAAAGAGTTGGATCCGGCCAATAGCAATCCCCTCCAATATTCTAGTTCTCCTCAAAGCTGTATCTTAGCCAATGTCCCAAGGCACGCAGGCTCTCGTACCGAATGTTCTCGTCGTCGGATGCCATCAGCTCCATGATCCGCCTCTTCAAGCCAATCTTCTCCAATTGCAGTCGCTTCTCGCTGACTTCCTTCACCAGCCAGCCAATGTCGTTGCATGCAATGGCCAAGACCTGCTTGTCGTTGTCCCACGGCTTGTCCATAATCTCGGCCAGCTTGCGGGGGATCTCGCCGTTTTGATACTCGAGGATTTTTCGTGCGTTTTCTGCCCAGAAAATGGTGTTGCGGTGTGGCGGAGACCAGCGGAGGTGGCCTGACTGGACCTCGGCCACGTACTCATCAAAGGTAGTCTTTGTCTTGGTGTATTCTTCGAGCAGGTCCTTGAGATTCTGGAGATCCTCGAGCAAGTCAGGATCAGTGAGATGGCGGCTATTCAGGTTGTCCAACAGCGCCGGCAGACGGGCGAGCACAGCAATGGGCAGAAGCGTCGTCTGGTTCTTGTCCAGCAGGTTGAACAGGGTGCCCAGAATCAGCCGGGTTGTCTTCTCCTTGGGGGAAAGTCGGAGAAGGTGAGTATACAGGAGGATGATATCGTATTCGCTATAGCCATGGTCAGTCGCGGGCCGGCAGAGGCAACAAGTCAAAAGACAAGCCACTCACTCGTTCAGCTCATCCCCAATATTTTCCGCGTCAAAGCTCGTCTGCCACAGAACCAGGAGGACATGGTACAACAGCTGTAGGCCAACGCCTCCATTCAACGAGCCCTCCAGGGGGCGTGTGCTAGCAGTCCCGCTCCACAGACGCGCTGATGAATCGCCTCCGCTGCCCACGCCGGCCGCAGTTCGAAGGATGTTGACGAGGGGCGTGACAGTTTCGCTGCGCTGTTTCCAAAAGAGCTCCCGCGAGACACGGCTGTACAGGAGTAATGAGTACTCCCGCATGGCCAGGTCCTGTAAGCCGGCATCGGTGCTCTGCGCTAAGCCGCACAGATAGGTGAAGACGTTGGGAATGGCCTCGATGGTAGGCCTGGAGTCATCTTGCGCCGAAGACATGAGGGTCGACAAGGCGTGTGCCGTAAGAAGCGGGATGGGATCCTCGTTGGAGTGTGCGCGGAATAAGGGCAAGAAGTGTTGATATGGCTCGGGAGACTTTACGAGAGCCTTGGCGAGAGAGGGTACAGCTGTTTCGGATACAGAAATGGTTAGCGATGATCAAATCGATGCGGATAAAGATGTGGTAATGAGTCGTATAGAGGTCGAGGCTCCGTTGACGCAAAAAGCCGGGGACATCAAGTGTTACATAGCATCCAATCTTTCTGGCAGACCGGCGAAAACCCAACAACAAGAAGCGCAGAGCAGGTTGGACGGGCATTAAGGTTCGGTCGAGAGACGCCGCAGCATCAGACGCCAGCTCTTGCTCAACCAGCCAGACAACAAGGTTCAAGACGAGTAGCAATAACCAGATAGTCCGAGCTGTTGGCGGGGAAGCAGCAGAACAACGCTTGCGTCGCCGCCGCAATGCCCACTTGCTGCGACAGACTTGATGGGGTGATGGTGATATAGGGGATCCAAAGATGGCGTATTGTCTTACCATCAAGCAAATCGGCCAACAACACCAAGATATACTGCACGAGGCTGGCATTCTTTCCCGCCTTTTCCAGGACGCTGGGGCTGCCGTTGCCGCCGACAAACAGTGTTCGGTATCCATCGAGGTCCGCGCTCACAATCTCGTTTCTCTGCTCGGCCCGCTTGGCCTTGTCGACGGCGCGAATCTTTGCATACTGCTCCTCGGTGAGGCTGCCTGCTCGGACGGCGCCATCCCAGGGGACGGGGCGCTGACGGATGTTTTCTTGTAGGGAGGACAGGTAGGTCGGGCCGTCGGCAGACATGGTTGCAGCTTTATTGGGAGGGAGAAATCTGGAAGGGGGAAAAGGATGGAGCGATGTCGACGATGAGGCGGAGGAGCGTAGCTTTGACGCGCGGGAGTTTGAGGCGCCACTGAGCCGAGAAGAATGCGAGAAGATGCAGTCGAGATTTGGACGGAGGGACTTTGTGACGGAGACGCCTCGATGGCAATTGGCAGGACGATGGCAGCCTACCGGCGTGCAGCAGGCTGTGCGAGGCTGAGGGGCGGGAGAGCGGGAGCAGGAACGGGAATGGATGAAGCAGAGAAAGAGTGTCACTGTCGCAGCTCAGCTGTGGAAGCTTCACAGGCCATGATGCTGCACCCCCCCACCTGTTTTAACGGCGGGTTTATCCGGCGTTCGGCCATAGATCAGGGACCGCAGCTGCGTAAGCCACAGACGACACCAGCCACTGCATCAGCCACTGCTGCTTTACACAATGCTTCCATGGCTGTCGGAACGCCTTCAATGACGAAAGTCGATGGATTGATGAGGATCGGCAGGGCTGAAGTTTTGAATCAGTTGCATTGTATGTACATACTGTATGTACTTGCTTCTCGTTATCTATACAAGGATGGTATTATGTCATGAAAACCAGTGAGTTGCTCATTCGCGTTTCTGCGTGGTTGTATGGAAGTCAACGTCATGGCGTTGCCCATCATGGCGACAACCAGCATTCCGGAGCACTTTGTAGGTTCCGAAACAGCTCGCCATGCCTGTAAGAAGACGGCCGCCCTGCACGCTTAATGACGATGCAAACCAATTCGGAACTTTGCCAATCACCTTCCTCGGAGTGTGTTCCGTAATAGCGCAAGCTTCCTTCCCTTCTTTACTTCTTCCTCCACGCTTCTCTTTTACCTTTTCAACAGGGTAATACCTTATGGACAACGCCACTCAGACATTTGCAGCTGATCAACCTTCTGCAGCCCGCAATAAGCGCACAAGGCGGTCGGCATGCAGCAGCAGCACAGGTCCTCGTACAGCTGCCAACTCTGCAGGTCTCGTCAGTCTGTTCTCTGTTGTTGCAGCATCGATCCTCTGCCGGATTGTTCATCACGCCAGACTGGAAACAGAAGGATGTGGGAAGATGGTCAACCGACCGGCCAGTCAATCACAGCATTGAGCCAAACCAAGGCCAGCCCGGCCGTGACCCCCCAGGTCGCTTCGCCGGTCCAGCCCATCAGAAGCTGCCAACACCGTCAGGGCGCCCACATGTGCGGGTTCTCCAGCTATCGATCGATAATACTCCGTGTTTATTATACTTCCTAAACAACATTGAGAATCGTCGTAATAGCTGCTTCGTCGTACTCGAGTGCAACCAGGCCAGCTCTTTGATGCCGTTTTACTCCTTTTATCATGATATAGCCATGCCTGAGCTTGTGACCATTGCCCGTATCCATTTCTGTCCCATCCATGCTTTCTTTGACATGTCGCCGTGGCTCAATGCGGCAGTTCTGTGGCCACAGCTGCCAGCTCATCCAGTCTTGAGTCCGTCCGCTCGGGGCATGATGCACTCCGTGCTCTCTCTGTAAGGCAACCCTGGCCCCGTCTGTCAACAAGCACGATAGTAACAAAGACGAGGAGTGATGCTGTCAAGTAGAACATCTTATAGTATTGTAGCCGTCATACGAAGCAATACTCCTGCAAAGTCTCAATGTCAAAGTGCTACCATGGCGCTTGGCAAGATCCCCGACGATCCAAACACTTCATGATACCCTGTAGGATCTCGCCCATCAAGGTCTGCCCGCCTCGTTGCTTCTCGTGACCGCCAACCCTTTTGACGCACCAGTCCACTCCAGTCCACTCCAGTCCAGTCGTCGTAAGACGCCACTGCAGAATCACAAGTCAGATTCCAGCCCGAACCCTTGCTGCATCTTGCATCTCTTGCCAACTCTAGTCAGGGGCTCTAAAAGGTTCTTTTCCCCCTCTTGTCGCTCTTCCTTTGTTCCTTCTGGTTGTGTCTGTCATTGTTAGTGGGTGGGCGTGGGCGTGTCTCTTTTATCCCGCAATTGGTGAAGCGAGAGTGACAAAAAGAGAGAGAGAGAGTGTGTGTGTGTGCCTCCGCTCCGACTTTTCGCAACTCGAGACCCGAGTCCATTCTCATTGTCGCCGTATGTCAAGGTACATGGCGCTCTATAGGTAGTAAGCTGGCCGTGGCCGGTTGTACCTGTGCTGCTCGCCATGTGCCAACAGTCCGAGAGAATGGCACTTTTGCTACACCGCGGCTTGCGGCCCGTTAAAACGGTGCCTGTCAAAGGAACAGAAAATGGAGGGGGTGTGATGGTCTGATAGAGTCATGCAAATCAAGGTACATACATAGCACCGATGGGCAACAGACAGCAGCAGTAATGGCGCACAATGAAGGTACTAGCAATACGAGAAGATGCAGCGGACAGGAGGGTGTGCAGCGAGTTCCAAGTATGTACTTTGTAACCTCATGCAAAGTAGGTACTAGGTATGCGGCCCTGGCAATTGGGCCGATGGATGGATGGATGGATGATGCTTCTCTGTTTTTCTGTGCTGTGCCTTGAGTCGGACAAAATGGAGGGGCTGGGGGGGTGGTTCGGGCTCGGTTTTTTTGGGTGTGGTGTAAGTGGGAGGAGGTTGGGGATTGTTCGAGGCTGCCGGCCGATAAAAGTCATCGTGCAGCTGCACGCTCCCACTCCCTCCCTCCTCCCAAGCCTCCCTTTTTTTTTTCGACTTTGGCACTGGACTTATGCAGGTGTGAAAAAGTACCTAGGTAGGCGTCGTCAGTCAAACGCCATTCTTTCTTTTCCCTTCCGCGTCGCTTCCGTGGGCTTGACATCGTGAGAGGAACGCAGTCGGTGGGTGGACTCGAACCACTGCCTCAGCAACCACTGCAACGGCCCAATCTCAGCCGTTTTTCTTTGTCCCTCGCCAGATTGCAGCAGCTGCTCGTTGAGAGACTTGGCTTTTCTCTCTCTCCTCTCTCTCTCCCCTCTCTCCTTCGGGGCTCAATTCCACCTCAATCCCCCAATCCTCGCCAGCCTCGACCAAGCCACCAGAGAGCGACATAGACACTCCCGCGCCACGGCCATGCGCTCCCTCATCCGACCAGCCTCAGCGCTGCTGCTGGCCGCCGCGGGCCTCGTCGCCGCCAGCCCACTGCCCACGGCCACCGGCGACAGCACCGCCTACGCAACTGGCTTTCTGCTGCCTCGCGACACGTGCGATGGCACGCCCTGCGGCGCCGAGGGCCAGTACTGCTGCGGCAGCTCGGAGCTGTGCACGACGCTGAGCGGCGACGTGGCGACGTGCGTGGGCGGCTTCGGCGGCGCGGCCTACACGAGCACCTGGACCGAGACGCGCACCTTCACCACCACCTTCTTCACCAACTGGGCGCCCGTGCCGTCGCCCAGCCCCGGCGTCGACTGCGTGCCGCAGGACGACGCCCAGGAGGCCTGCGGCTCCATCTGCTGCGCCGGGTGGCAGACGTGCGCCTTCAAGGGCCAGTGCTCCGTCAAGCCGGGCTACGCAGAGCCCACGCCCGTCGTCATCACCAGCGCCGGCGAGGTCGAGACGCAGTACTCGGCCCCGTACCGCGTCACGGGCACCACGACCATCACCACCCACATCGTCCAGACGGGCACCGGCACCGAGGGCATCTGGACGGGCACCTACACCGTCACCGAGACGGGCGCCCGCTCCTCGTCCACCAGCGACTCCGACGCCATCGGGGCCGGCGGCAGCGAGAGCGACAGCGACAGCGGCGGCCTGAGCGGCGGCGCCATTGCCGGCATCGTCATCGGCACCCTCGCCGGCGTGGCCCTGCTGCTGCTGCTGTGCTTCTGCTGCATCGCCCGCGGGCTCTGGGCCGCCATCTGCGGCGGCCGCCGGCGCGGCAGCGAGAGCAGCGTGCGCGAGGAGGAGATCATCGAGGAGCGCTACTCCAAGAGCGGCAGCCGCGGCGCCTCGGCCTCGGCGCACTCTCGTCGCGATCGCCACGGCGGCTGGTTCGGCGGCGGCAGCACCAGGGCCGGAGCGTCGACGGTCGTGGCCGATCGCGAGCGTCGCCGCCAGAGGGAGAAGCGCAAGAGCAGCGGCGGCTTCTGCACGTGGCTCGGCATCGGAGCCGTCGCCGCCACCCTCTTCACCCTGCTTAACCTCAAGAAGGACAAGCGGCCCAACTCCCGCAAGACGCCCTCGCGGTACAGCGAGTCTTACTACAGCTACTCTGACTACACCAGCAACAGTATGTTTTTTTCCCGGGCTTCTATTCCCCCCCTTTTCCCTCGTCTGAGCTTGTCTTGTCAGTCTGACTAACATTTCTTTTCCAGCCGCCAGCTCTAGCTCTGGACAGAGATCCCGCAGCGAGCGCCGCAGCGACCGTCGCAGCAGATCCAGCCGTGGTGGCCGATCACCGCACTACGGCCGGGCTCCCAAGAGGCCGTAGACGTGTCAAATCACACTTCATGGCGACGATTCCTCTCGGGCGGCATCAGACGATATTCTTCCATTGTCAACATATTTCCATAGGGGCACCCATACCAATTGCGTGGGACTGACGACCTCTCTCTCCCCATTTTACGCCATTAATTCTTGTTCCCGACTTTGTTTAAACTTTCCTTTTACACTACTACAACGGTTACATATGGCGTCGGCGGTTGCGGAAGGGGGGGGTTCTTTATCAATTCCCCGTTTTCCTTTCCAATTTTTTTTTTCTCTCTTCATTTTCCCTCCTTTGCTATCTTACGAGTCTGGTTGTTTTCATGTTTATTACGTGCCATATGTTTTGAAATGAAGGGATGAAGGAACTGCGGAGGCCAAAGACAAAGACAAAGGCAAGGAGACCAAATGCACAAAGAGCGACGATGACGAGGCATGAAAAAGTACATACTACGAAAGACCAAGACGAAATGAAAAATGACATTTATTCTACATAACTGATTAGCTGTGTGATGGCGACTGTGATGAAGAATGAGCTTATCATTGAGTGACTCAGGGAATAATAATCAATGCGACAGACACTGAGGCTAAGAATGATCTGTATGGAGGGTTATATTTTTTGAATTATGATAGAACATGGTAAATTGAGATGAAAAGGAAGCTGTGAGAGCTGGTTACTTTATATTCAGCACCACTGTTTGTACGCTGACCTTGCTGCTTTCTGCGAACTGGGCGGGAATTTGCTGACAAAAGGTGGTGGCCGTTAGATTGAGATACTCAATTGATGAAAAAGTCACGAAAGAAATCTCAGTCGAGATTGACTTGAATATAGAGAAATAATTACCTCTTAAGACATGATGAAACATAGGTATCGAGTCTGTTGGGTCGAAACATGAGCTGTACTTGTTTGACACAGCAGGATTTGTGCTGCTTTGACTGATACCCTAGATACCTACAATACGGCCAAGATGGTCTGCTCCATCAGCAAGGCTTTTCACCTTGCCCGTAACCAAATAAGACATGAACATCGTGAGTCTCCCATTATGAGTGAGTAGCCAAGTACAGTCCCCCATTTCCAAGCTCAGAAGTTGTGGTCAATCACAAAAATATGCTACAGCAAAGAGGACAGGTAGAAAAATGTGACAAGTGGCCATCGCTTTTTTCACTTTACTTTTAATATATTTTTGTTTTAAAAGAGTAGCCCCGTTGCTACGTGACATGCAATGATGAACCTTCGCCACTCCGGAGTCCCAGAAACGCAAAAGAAACAGAGATCCTTGTCCGGTACATTTAAGCGTCCTCCACAACGTTGCCCTTCTCGGAGACGTACAGACCGTCCAAGAACTGGGGGAGAGAAAAAGAAGTCAGCATAACAAGTCCACGCGTTGCTGTGATTGGGCATGGGTGAATTGGCTTGTTGAACCAAGTGGTTGAGCGATGGAAGCCGTCCGCCCCCATTGCCATCTCCCACATGCACAAACTCGTTTGCCCGTAGAGTTCCAAAAGAAGAAAAAAAACGCACCTTTCGAATATCCTTGTTGCGCACCCGGCAGATCTGCTGGATATCTGCGGCGCTCTGGGAGACGTTCTCGAGTGAGTTGCCAGTGAGGATGAGCTCATCCTTCTGGGACTTGGAGATCTCGACGTCGACACCCTCGTGCATGGTTACCCGTCGGACAATCTTCTCGCCGATGAAGTTTCGGATCTCGACCTCGTACAGACCAGTCTCCTTGTTCTTGTCCAGGTTGACGTTGATGGGGAAATGGGCGTAGACGTATCGCATCTTGTACTTGAAGCCCTTGGTGACACCAATGATCAGGTTCTCGATGATGGATCGGACGGTACGCAGGGTGGCGACATTCTTGCGGTTGCCGTGGTGGATCTCGATCGAGATGGTGTTCTTCTTGGGGTGGCCGAAGTTGACAGCCAGGTGGCCGAGGTTCTTGGAGAGCTTGCCTGTAGTCCTCCCATGTCAGAATGCCCGGTTTTTTTTTTCTTTTAACAACAAGTCTTGCTCGAATCTGCTGGCCACAGGGATTCTCGTCTTTAGGCGAGCAATCGGCGGGCAGTGGGTGGTGGTGGTGGTGGTTTCGTACCTCGGGGACCCTCAACGGTGACGATTCGGGTCTTGATGTTGACCTTGACTATTCGCAGGCAAAGAAAAAAAAGTCAGCTTCCAGTTCGTTGTTGAAGAAAAATGCGCATGATCCAATCCAGCGAGCAGAAATTCCGTCGTGTCCTTCTCTGGTTTTCCAATCCAATGCCCTCGTCTCCAGTAGCAGACGTAAGATTCCTCCTCTTCCTTTTTCCTTCCCATCACTATCCCCAAAGCGACACACTTCCTCCAGCGCAATCGGTCGAATTCTGCAAGCTCAAGGATACCGTGAAAAAGAAATCTGGTGAAAACGTACCGCCCTCTGGGATCTCCAGAGTCTCCTGAGAGTGAATGTACCTCATGGTGGCTGTGACTTGGGGTTTGTCGGGGCGTTGAGGGTATCTGGAGTCGTCCGTCGGCGGTCACGAATTGTTTGGGCGAAATCGTGTGGGCAGGAAAAGTTCTAGGGCTCGCTCCACGTGAGTCGCAAAGAGTTGTGCAGCCGAAATTGAGCCGTTGTGGGTGCGCGGGGTGGGGCGGCAAAGGCTCGAGACGACAGGTTGTGACCTGGCACGTGATATGGCTAGCGTTGAGTTGTCTGGCAGACAGAGCTGCCGAGTTACTCATTACCTAAGCAAACCGCGACCTGATGACATTCAGCCAATGGCTCTCAAGGCCTGCAGAGGGTGACTGGTGTAAGGCAGCATGCCTGACAACAGTTCAACTTGCTCTCCTTTGCCTGATCACATCGCAGCAACATCTTTCTTGTTGAAGACTGAATCAGGACATATATAAATCAAGACTATCCATCATCTCACATATATGAATGTGCATCAACCCATCTATCACCCGATGCGCAGCCACCATCTGCAACATATCATGTACTCTCTACCTCTGGTCCCAGCCGCTGCCACATACGACCACCCGTACTCTTTACCTCGGCCGCCTGCATGACTCTCCCCCCCAGCTCTCCACCAAAGCTCTGTCCTCTCTCCAACGTCGAAGCCAACATCCCCCCCACTACCTAAACGTACGTCAGCGCAACCGCCAACCTCGCAACTGTTCAGGTACGCGACAACCCCGAAACTCCGCGGCGCATCTTGTTCCTGTGACAGTACAACTAGATCGCCCGGATCTGAACCTCAATTGCGCGACAAGGACTCGAGTTGATTGGCTGCGCAACTGCGATATTCCCCCTCGAGCCGAAACTCGAATACGAACGGCGAGAGATATCAAGTGCAAGACGACGACGATAACGACAACGAAGAAGGAGAAGACGGCTGAAAGTAGAGGAAGAAGAAGAAGAACAAGAAGAAGAAGCCTGTCGATAGACACCAGAAAGTAAAGGGACAAAGGGAACAACACCATCACACAGGGAGAGGCTGTTTCAACCTCCGCCAACCGCCGCCATGTCCATCTTCTTCTCAACCCCCGTCGACATCGACATCGTCCTCGACGACCCCGACAACCGCACCATGGTCGACGTCAAGCTCGACAAGAACCGCCGCGAAAAGGCGCCCCTGTACATGGACGGCGAGTCCGTCAAGGGCGCCGTGACGGTCCGGCCCAAGGACGGCAAACGCCTCGAGCACACGGGCATCAAGGTCCAGTTCATCGGCACGATAGGTACGCACCTCAACCACTATGACCAGAGCCCCGGCCCCGCGCACAGCCGCCACTCCTCCTCCTCCTCCTCTTCCCTCGCCGGCCTCCTGACCCCCTCGTGGAGCTTGCCCGCCATCCGCCTGGGCCTGCAGCAGCAGCGACGTCGGCACCTTACTGACGGGCTGGTAGAAATGTTCTTTGACCGCGGCAACCACTACGAGTTCCTCTCGCTCAACCAGGAGCTCGCCGCGCCGGGGGAGCTGCAGCACCCGCAGACGTTCGACTTCAACTTCAAAAACGTCGAGAAGCAGTACGAGTCGTACAACGGCATCAACGTCAAGCTGCGCTACTTTGTCCGCGTCACCGTCTCGCGCCGCATGGCCGACGTGATCCGCGAAAAGGACATTTGGGTCTACAGCTACCGCATCCCCCCGGAGATGAACAGCAGCATCAAGATGGACGTCGGCATCGAGGACTGCCTGCACATTGAGTTTGAGTACAGCAAGAGCAAGTACCACCTCAAGGACGTCATCGTCGGCCGCATCTACTTTCTGCTCGTCCGCCTCAAGATCAAGCACATGGAGCTGTCCATCATCAGGAGGGAGACGACGGGCGCCGCGCCCAACCAGTACAACGAGAGCGAGACCCTGGTGCGCTTTGAGATCATGGACGGGTCGCCTTCCCGAGGCGAGACGATACCCATTCGGCTCTTCCTTGGCGGCTTTGATCTGACGCCCACCTTCCGAGACGTGAACAAGAAGTTTTCCACGCGGTATTATCTCAGTCTCGTCCTCATTGACGAAGGCAAGCCATCCCCCCATAGCACCTTTGTATATGCATCTTTTTACTGATCTCATCTCTGTATCCAGACGCTCGACGATATTTCAAGCAGTCGGAAATCATCCTCTACCGCCAAGCCCCCGACGTACCCGCCATCCAAGGCATCCAAAGCGTGCCCCCTCCCACCGAGAACAAAGTCGCCGCCGTCCAGGCATGAGAAGTCCAAAGGAGCTGAACCTACCAATCCTCCGCCTGCACCGACGACATGATCAAAATCAGCCTTCCTCTGCATTCTCCTCAGCCATATCCCCACCCCCACTACTAATCTGGTCATTTTCATTCTTCACAAAAAGGGAGAAAAAGGGGGCATGTTCTATTTTCCCTTCACTCTTCTTACTTCGAAACTACTGGCGTTTCCGGAAGATGAGCCGTCTGTGTGTGTGTGTGTGTGTCTTGTTTTCTCGATATTTGTACGAACACATGTTGCCGTAGATGATATATAGGTGCATCAAGTATAGCGTCTTGCCCTTTTGCGAAAGGCATTCGAGCTGGGTTTATTCGCATGAGCAGGGGTGATGTGAAATTTTCATGGAGTCTTTGCCCGTATAACCAGGCTTTGAAGCAGATGTCATGCGCAGTTTCACCCAAGGTATTGGGACCCTATCATCTTTACTTTGCATCTCGCCCACTCCCATACCCTATACACTCGAAAACAGCAGTCAGAGTAAGAAGGCCCCTGTTCAATCTACATGTCAAACAGTTTTCCTAATAGACTGGCAATATCATCTAGATTATGCTCACAAACCATACCCATCCCTCCCTCTTTCCACCAAGCCCCTCCTGAACAGAAAGAAATGCATTCCTTTTAAAAAAGACATACACAGCTCATGAGATATCCATTACATCCCCAGCCTCGAACCCAAACTGATTATTTTGAATCGCCGCGATCCGATCCAGCTCATCCTGGTACTGCTTCCGAATGTCCGCCAGCGAAACGACCTTGCGCTTGACCGCCGCCGCCGTCTTCTCCCCGTCGGGCACGCCCTCGTCAAAGATCCACGCCTGCTTGGCGTCCACGCAGCTCAGCGCGTTGATGAGCAGCAGGTACTGCTTCGTCACGGGCGTGTCGAGCACGTCTTCTCCCGTGATCTGGTCGCCCTCGCCGGCCAGCCTCAGCTTCTGGATCTTGTCGAGGATGACGGATGCGGCGCCCCGGTAGTTGTTGTGCTTGATCCTCCACGAGTAGAGAACCTGGTGGTAGGGGAAGGCGTGCATGACGTCCATGATGGTCTTGCAGCGCAGCGACAGGATGTCGTCGACCTCCTGCTGCATCCCGGGGAACGGCAGCGTCACTAGCTCCGAGTTGTGATACGTCTCGCACATCTTATCCACGAGTTTCCGCAGGTTGTAGTGTCGTAGAGCTTCATCCTTCATCGACAGCAGCGTCGTGTGAGCCAGCTCGAACTGGGATGTGGCCAGCGCCGCGTTGAAGAGACGGCTCAGCATGTCGGTCTTGATGCTGGCATTCTCTGGCTTGTTCCTGATGAACTGCATGGATAACCGGGCAAAATCGACCACGTAGGAATATGCTTTCTGCTTCTCGAACAGGGCGACAATGTGTGAGTAGTACTGAGCCATTCCGCTGTTCAAGAGATTCCACTCCGTGTCGTCGAGCAGGCCGCTGCTATGGCGCTCAAGCTCAACCGTTGTGCTACCTATGGCGGGTATTTAGCTTCGACTCCTTGATTGAAAACATCATCCTAGACTTACCCATTCCCACAGCTGCCTTTCTGAATTTGAGGGACGCAGACTCAAAGTCCTTGAGCGCCAGCAGGACCCTGCCGTGGATGTAGATGGAAAAGGGGTTTTGATCGCAAAACGGCTCAAGTTCCAGTGCCAGATCGGCTCTGTCGCGCTTGATGAGGGAGCACTGAATGAGTGACGGGGACACCTCGATATCTCCATTGGGGGAGCAGAGGTTGGTGACGAGATCAGTAATGCAGATTGCAAGCGGCTCGCCGGGCAGCCCCTGCAAGCCCAGCAAGTGGCCGACGTTGGCTTCCAGGGCGGTCACCACCTGAACATCCTCTCCCCTTTTTGTTAGTGAGGACAAGCTGTGTTCGGGTAGCGGAATGGCCAGTTCGGTCTGTGAAAGCCACTTGAGGAGCTCTAGCCTCTTCAGTATCGCGAGGAGCTGCCGGAAGACGGTTCCGACATCTATCCTATTGTGAAGGATTTCTTCTTCCGAGTCAAACTCATACTCCATATGGACGAGGAGAATGAGCTGACTGAAACACACTTTCCATTGCAGGGCAATGGTGTCTTGCGCCGCCGTCATGACGAGCTTTCTGCCAAACTCCGTCAGGGGATGGTTTGGGCTTCGAGTCCTGTCATCCAACGGCGTGACTATGAGGCCGAGCACCTTTCGATAGAGCTCGTTGGTCACGGCTGCAAAGTTGGTGTCCAGCGTCTCCACCACCTGCTGGGCGTCCTCCTCTGTGATGCCTCGCCAGAACCCGGCCTTGTCTGAAAAGTACTGTATCCGCTGGAGATCCGTCTTAGTGGACTCTCCAAACAGCTCATGCCTCAGCGCAGCAGTGCACGTCTGCACTACATTGTCCGGGAACCCTTCCACCAGCGTCAGTCCGGCACCGATCAGATCAGCTTGCCTCACGGACCCTTGATCCGGTGTGGCTATGTTGTGATAGAGGCGCTCCAGGTGGCTGCATTCCCGGACGGAAGATATGAGATCCGCACACACCACCCAGACCATGTCTGCATTAGAATCAAAGGCCATGCCGATGGCCTCCCCTCGCTGCTTGTCGAGCTCATTCAGCAACCGATAGAACCGCCTCCACTGGATCTCGCTCGACGATCGAAACTGCTCGTAATCCATCTCGCCCATTGCTCCGCGATCTAGCGTCGCAGTGGAACCCAGGACCGAGCAGATTGACTCAGCCAGGCCGCGCCCCTTGTTGTTCTCCTTTGTAGCGCCTAAACCACGCTCATATATGGCAAGCGCAGTTTCCAGCGTCGCTTGGGTGAACCTCCCTGGCTGTAGAATCATTTGCAGCCACTTCTCCGTGACATCGGTGGGGTCGCAGGGACCAGACGTTTGTACAGAGAGACTCCGTGGCTCAGAATACACGCCGTCCCAGCTATCCTCCCACGACTGCGCCATGTTCTTCCGATCAAGCTCCAGCCGCTGCACTCGGTATGTCATGTTGTTCTTCCAGAGGGTCCACAGGCTGATTTGACCTTCCTCTGACGAGGCCAGCACGAAGTCGGCCAGCGTCCAGATATCTGAGGATGATGGGGTGACCGGGATCAACGAGCACTTGGAGAAGAGGTCCTCGATAACGACGTTATGAGCATCCTTGGCGGTGATCTTCCAAAACTTGAACTCTCCAGGGCCAATGGGCGAGTAGGTCGCACAGATTCTCTGACCGCGAGTCCGGCCCACGACCCTAAGAAGGTTCGACTGCGCCGGATCAATCGACCATTTGCCCAGCTCCTGAGGCGGCCTCTCAACATTCAACATATCCAAGGTCTGCAGGATCTGGCCGTCGTTGGCGTTCCAGATGCGGATTCGGTGGTCGAGACAAACGGTGACTGCGAAGAGGCAGTTGTCGAGCCCAAAGTCGGAGATGTCGATGGACGTCGCAGTGCTGTATTCCATGTTGGCCTTTCCGTACTTGATGGTGTGTTTGCCGTGGAAGGGCAGAAGACTCCGAAGATTCTGCGCCCATCCTTGGACGTTGAAGAAGGACTCTCTCCACAGCGCAGTCGATGCTGTGCAACAGATTAGACATGCATATTCAACACGAGCGGTTTCTCTTCCGACTCACCATCGTCTCCCTTTTGCCTGTCGAACCGAATCATGCCGCCATCATTGACCGTAACAAGAAGCGTATTGGCCGACACAGCCACCATGCGGTGGGGATACTTGAAGCTGAGGCCAGACGGAGACTGGACCTTGCAGATGTCGGGCAGCCCAGCATCCACAGCGCCTCGCCTCTTGAAGAGATCCGGCCGCAGGGTGAAGGTGTACAGATAGCATGCCTGGTCCAGGACATGAACGCACAACGCATCGTGTTCCTCCGGGTCTGAAAACACCACGCATCCCGGCTGGATGGGCGCCGTGAAGTGGAAGTTGATGATGAGGGACGCATCGGCCGCCTTGTCCTTCTTACTGACGTCCACCGCGCGGATGCTCAGCAGCGTGCCATCCTCCAGCACCCTCCACAGGAAGTTGCGCGGCGAGTCGTGCCACTTCCGCCTGTAAATCGACGCCGCGGTGGCCAGATTCTTCAGTCGAAACGTCGTCTCGTCCTCGGCATCGTGCGACGGCTTGGGCCTGCCTCTGCTGCCTGAGCCCGCAGGCACTCGGATGGTGACGACGGAGGACGGGGAGGGAGGTTCGAGGTTCAAGCGGGTCTCCTTGAAGAGATACTGAAGATCACTTGAATCCATCGCGCCTCCCTGAAGCGCATGAGCCGATGCAGCTTGTGCGGAGTTGAAAGGAGTGGCGGGCGAGGGAAAGGCGCTTCGTTTTTCCAAGTCGTTTGCGTTCGGTGTTTGGTGATGGTCGGGTTTTGGTCGCGTTCAAAGGGCAGAATTTCTGTTTCGATTTCGACGTCGCGCTGCGCTAGCCCGATTGGGAAATCAGCTCGGATTCACTGTTGAACTTGCAGCCACTTGATGCATTGCTCTATATTTGAGGAATAAAGATGAGAGAAAAGATGCTGGGAGAATTGTCACCAGAATAAGCAAATCTGAAAGTGATTTTGGATGTCATAAGACTTCAAACGCTCATCTAATGCGTACGCGAGACTCCGTGCATTCATGCATCTATACATCCATCCATCATCTCCCCCCCCCCAACCACTTTATGTCTCCCAATAGCAAACATGTGAGCAACAACAAACAAAGCTCCCAACCGTAAAGAGAAAACGCCGAAAAGACCCTGTATGTAGCTCCTCCATATGACTCCAATTTTCTTGTTCCTCATTTCTCATTCATCAGAAAGATCCCAGTATTCGTTCAGTCCTTCTCCTTCTCCAAGTCCTTTGGCGCCGGGTCACCAATACCGTCCTCGCCAATGGCAAACAGCGTGTCGCTCTCCGGCAGACAAGGGCTATCGTAAATCTTGGCGATTCGAGTCTCTCCACGTCCCTTCTTCAAACTGATTCGAGTTGTGCTGGCATGCGCAATAAT